TATATGGAAGCCATTTTGTCCGAAACATGCGCTAACATGGTAAATACCATTATTATTGGGGATTTTAATATAAATATGAATATATCATCGACATATAGTAGGAAACTTAATGAGATATTCTCTCAGCAGGCAATGAAACAGTTAATCAACTTTGATACCAGGGTTACTGCACAGTCCAAAACGCGCATCGACTTGTTATACTCTAACACTAATGAAGTTTCATGTGAAAAAGCTGAGGAACATACCTCAGTGAAATAATTATATGTGCATTTTAATTGTTACCCTCATCTATCTTAATTGCATCGGTACTTTCTTTTTTTGAAGTATATTACACAAGGCGTTGTTTGTTTAGTATATTGGCATTTTTTAATTTTTTATAAACCTCTGCTCATAGCCCCGTTATATAAACACTTTTTGTGTCTAATACCTTTCTTAGGAAAAAAGTATATGTGCAAAGCATTGTTCTCGTTGTTTAAAATGTCAACACGTGAAGTGAAACAATTACTTTGATAAAAAATTACAGGCGTAGTAAAAATTAATATTTTTTGCAATCACAACTCATGAAATTGAAATAAATATTGTTGCATATATAATTATTTCATAAGAACGTATGAAACAAAAATTGAAATAAAATTAATCGCAAATAAATACAAATTGTTATGTTGTCGTATTTGTTAATCTTCATGTGATATATTATAAAAAAATATTTAAAAATATCCAACATCATTTTTTAGAGATTTATATAGAAATTCTTCAGTGCACATATAATTATTTCACTGAGGTAGAATAACGGATCATGAAACCATAATGTTCAAATGCAATATAAAAAAACAAGGCGAAATCAATAAACTCTCTGAATTAATTTCTTGGGATGAGTACAGCCCAGACAACCTCATGAATCTTTTGAGACAATGCAACTTTGCAAACCTGAATAGTTTCAATATTGATGATATGCTCGAACATATCAACTTTGTTTGATTTCGAGTATGAACCAACTAACTTCTCGGGTACAAAGGCGGGTTAAACTTAGAAATAAATGGTATGATAGACAACTGACTGACACTAATAAAGAAAAGTTTAGGTTACACCAAAGGGCAGTACTCACAGGTGATTGGGTAGATTACAACAAAATAAAGAAAGAGTATAAGAAAATGATCAAAATTAAGAAAATTCAGTATATGGAACACAAGGTAGAAAGTAATAGAGGTGATAGTCGTTTAATGTGGAAATATTTAAAGAATATTCTTAATAATACGAGTAACAGAGACAATATCAAAGAAGTTCTCATCAACGGAAAAATATACAGAAATAGTATGGTAATCGCCGAAAAACTAAACAAGTACTTTGTGGATAGTATCGTCGACATAAATAGTAATATAGAGAACGTAAATTGTGAACAGACTTGGATTCTTTGTACAAATGGTTGTGTTTAAATAAACTTAAGTTGAATGTAAAAAAGACACAGTTCATGATCCTCACTAGAGCAGTTAATCTTGGAACCACCAGTTACAATTTAAAAATCAAATAGGAAGAAATTGAGAAAGTTAAACTCATTAAGTACCTGGGTATATATATAGATAATAAACTTAAATTTGATGAGCATGTTGAGCATACAGTGAACAAAATTGCGAAAAAAATTGGTCTTATGAAAAGATCTTGTAAGTATCTGAGAAGAAGGTATAAAACCCTGGTCTATAGATCTATAGTAGAACCACATTTTATATACTGCCCAACAATCTTCTTCTTAGCAAGCGACGCAAATATCGAGAAATTGCAAAAAAATGCAAAATAGAGCTATGAGGTTCATATAAAGTAAGCGTTACGATACACCTACACAGGAGATGATCACAGATATGAATTGGTTGAGTGTTAAGCAACAGGTTTTCTATCATGCTATGAAATTCGTATACAACATAAAGAACGGTAAACTTCCAGACTATCTGAGCGACAATCTTCGGTATATAAATGAAACTCATTCATATATACTCAGGGAAAACAATTGCTTTAGACTCCCACTTTATAGAACAGAGGTAGACAAAAAAAATATATTTTATAAAGGTTTAAAGTGTTTTAATGAGTTACCGCCACATGTAAAAGACTGTGATAACTTTGTTGCTTTTAAAAGACAACTATTTAATCACTGTAAAACTCTGGCCATTAGGTAGGAGAGCACGGAACGGAATGGAAACCAGGCCTTTCCATCCGACCAAGCAGCAAATGATCTAGCATACGAAAGCTTCCGACTATGCCCAACAGCCCGACCACAACGCGGAGCGGAAACTAGACCTTTCCGCCCGCCTCACATCACGGAATCCAGCGTCAGGGTTTGCATATTAATGACGACGGGAACATGGATCGGAGACTCGGCCTTTCCGACCGTGACTATCAACTCGTGAGCAACGCGGAGCGGAAACAAGGTCTTTCCGCCTGCTGCACATAGTACATATTT